CTGCTGAGTGAAGGGAACTTAAAACATCTCTCCAGTGTTGTCGCCATCCCCATGGTTACCTTCCAGGTAGGTACACAGCTAGGTTTCCACTCTAGACCTGGCCAAAGGAGGAAAATGTCTCGCCATTAGAAAGTATTGGGAAGGAAATTTTCTTTTTCCAAGCTAACTTCAGGAAGTTGCTTTAGGATTTTGTTTTTTGAAATTGTTAGTTTCATTGATTTCATTTCTTCTTAAAAAATGAAGGTGTGTCATTTTTTTATTTAAAAGAGAACAAAGACAATAGTAAAAAAAAAAAAAAACCCAATTATTCAGATAGAAGAATATCACTGGATACACTTCGCCTGCTCTGAGACCATTTCTTATGAATTCATTGCTCATAGAGAGTTGTCTTTTTAGTCTCATAATAGACAAATATATGGTGTCCCCTCAAAATGTATACACACACTTTGAATAATTATAAAGCCAGTATTTATGTAATTATCAGCTATCAGTGTGTATACATTTTTGGGGGACACCCTGCCTAAATCCTGAGTGAACTAATCTCATTTCTATTCTAAAATAGTGTGACCATCATATCAGCCTATTACTCATAAACATGAGCAAGAAAGAAAAAATCTCATAAGTGTAAGTACAGATTTCTTAGTAATGTCATCTGACTTAGAAGATTATTATTGGGGTTTTAATACTGGGATATGAAGTGGAGTCACCCTAGCTTAGATATCAGAACTCTTATTAGCTTATTCATTAGTAAAGAGGCCATAATTTACTTTGCTTAATTATAAACATCCTGGACTGCTGAATGAGAGATTAGTCTAATTCAGTAAAAAAAAAAACTTAAGTCCCCTTTTATATGTTAAATATATGAATACAAAGTGAAGACTCAGTCTCTGACCTCAGGAAGGTCTCTGTCTCATCTTTCTGAAAAAGACTTTGCGACATTGGGTCAGCCTCTCAGTGTGAGAAAGCTCAATGCCAAGCTACACTATGGAAAGAACATGCAGCCTTGGCACCAGTCATTCATTACAATGGAGTCACATCTTCCTTTCAGGAAGGTTATATTCCACAATTAGCAAGTGATAGACATTTCTCTAAGTAAAACTTTCCCTTAAGCTTGTCTTAAGGAATTGTGTGGTGGCCATCTTGTCAGTTTTTCCTGCATGACTTGAACAGATTGGTTCTTCGCCTGAACACCCAGGTTACAGTTAGAAACCATATCATTTTTTTTTTTTTTTTTACAGGACGGGTACCAGGCCCGCAGCCAGTCTGCCTCAGGTCAGCCGATCATGTGTGGGTTCTTGACGTCATGCAGGCAAGATTTCACAATATGAAATCTGTGTAAGCTGGCGACAGTGAAACAAAGGAATGGCTTAAGGTAGAAGGAGCAACAGGAGAAAGCCTGTGCAGGGCTGCCTTTAGCTCAGAGAGTCGGAAAAGAGGGTCTTGGAGACAGGTTCGGCAGGTAAGCTCAGATGAGCTGCTGCTGCCTGCTGCTCCCCTGGTTGCAAATCCCGAGTGGATGCTTATTGCTTATGACAAAGAGAGCAGAGATACAAGGCATGGTCATGCTGTGTGTTCTTTGGAGGTTTTTTATTTTTCTGAAGCCAGTGGGAATCCCAGGGGAGGTCTCAGAGGAAGGTCTTAACAGAATATTCATTAGCTTTCCAGTGTGTCCTTCAATATGCTGATTCAAAATGCCTGTATAGAAGGGTCAGGGTCATTTTCTGGTTAGCTTTATTTTTAAAGAATGCAATTGAAGAGAGACTGGGATCTGAAGCCAGTCTGCCCTGGGTGGGTCTGGAATGTGTAAACAATTTTTTCTTAAATGTCCTTGGTTAGGGAAGATAAACACTTGTGATTCATTGGCTGGCTGTGAATTGCTCAAATTGTTTGGCCTTTTCAAATGATTTTGTCTCAGTTTTCCCTATTCCACCTGTCAAGCAATTTCCCTGGTTTCTTACCATCCTTACACCTTAAGAGGGTAAAATAAATGAGATGCATAAATGTGATAATATCAGTTTGAAAAAATATAACTTTAAGCAATTTAGAACATTTGAAATATGGGTTTGTATTTTTAAAAAACCATGAATATTATCACATTTATGCATCTCATTTATTTTACCCTCTTAAGGTGTTTAGGAGGTCTTTCAATGTAAGTACCTATGGGAAACTTGTATTTTCCAAAATAGCCACAGCAATATTTCTGGTCTCACATGTTAAGAACCTTGCCTCTGCCCATCAATAAGTAGGGTTTATTTCCCCACCTCTTAAACCTGAATGAGACTTTGTAATGGCATGGATACACAGAATGCAGCAAAATCAAATTGAGACTGTAAGACTTCTAAGGCTAGGTCATAAAAAGGAATTCCTCTTCTCCTTCTCCTTCTTGCTCTCTTCCCCTTCTTTCCCCCCGTGTGTGTCTCTCTGTCTCTTAACCTTAGAACTGCTGGGAGGAAGCTCAAACCAGTCCATACTGCCATAACATGAAAAGCTCTACATGAAATAGAACTGAGGTCTCCAGCCTGCAGCCTCCAGCCTGCAGCTACCATCAACATGAGAGTGAAAAAGTTTTCAGATGATTCCCCTTCACAACCTTCAAATATTCCAGCTGAGGGCCTATGCAAAATGGAGCAAAGAAAGGTCATCCCTGCTGTGCTGTCTGAATTCCTACCCACAGAATCTGTGAGCATAATAAATGGTTGTTTTATACCTCTACGTTGAGGGAGGGAGGGGGGGCAATTTGCAATGTAGCCAGAGTAACTGGAAAAGGACCTATATATCTTTGTCAGTGTTTTATTTAAAAAAAAAAAAAGATTTTTATTTATTTCAGAGAGGAAGGGAGAGGGAGAGATAGAAACATCAATGATGAGGGGGAATCATTGATTGGCTGCCTCTTGCAAGCCCCACACTGGGTATTGAGCCTTCAACCCAGGCATGTGTCCTGACCTGGATTTGAACCATGACCCCCTGGTTCATAGTTCCATGCTCAACCACTGAGCCACGCAGGCCAGGCTATGTCAATGTTTTAAATAATGGCACTCAACAGTATTATTCTATAGTATTTATGTTTCATAAGTTTATTTAATTATTCCTGTATAGATAGATACTTAGATGACTTGGAATTACTTTTTCCTATTATAATAAACAAGGCTGAAATTAAGAAGCTTCTAGATTTATATGTACACAAATGTCAGCATTTTTATAAAAACTATAAATGGAATTAATAAATACACGTACAATACTTAAATAGTGTCTGGCATATAACAACTAATTTTTATCACTTTTTGAATCAGTATAAGCGGAACTTTTATATGTAAAGTGATCATTTTTCCTTTGGTGACAAGAACCTTCACAGTTGTATCTAACAGCAGCTATGCTCAGTGCATACCGCTTTTTATAGCTTAGATTATGGCAAACACGTGCAAACATAACCAGTCATAGAATTATATCCCTGCAAACGTCCATCTGCTGCACACCTGACCAGTTCTACAAATCACTTGTTTAAAAAGTTGATTTGCTCCATGTGCTGGTGAGGTACCCTACCTGCCTTCCTATTAGAACCGAGAGCGGGAAGAGCGAGGGCGCTGCAGTTCTTTCCTTGCTGCATTCACTCAGGCAGACCTTTGGGGGAGGGTGGGAGGAGGAAGGCCTCGGTGCTCCCGGCCCTATTACAACTCGTGTCACAGGTTTAAGAGTGTATTCTTTTTTCTTTTTAAAATCTTCATCCGATTGACTTCTTTAGTTCTTTTTTGATTTTTTAAAATATGAAATGCATTGGGGTGACATTGGTTAATAAGAGTATATTATTATTAACCAAGTGTAGGTCTCAAGTGTGGATTTCTATGACACATGCTCTGTATTCTCAATTGGAATGTGCTCTTTTAGTCACCCCCTTTCACCACGAATCTTCCGCAGGTGTGCTGGCTGCAGCCCAGCACCTGCACATCACGTGTACCTCCAATTTTTCAGGGCGGGGCGAAGGGGGAATATCCTCATAAAGACTGCCTGCCCACCTTCTCTTGCCTTAAAGGGGCAAAGACTAAACTTAATTCGCATTTTAACTCTCCCTCCCTTTCGATTTTCTCCCCTGATTCGTTCCATTTTTAGGATCTTGGGTAACCTCCACTCCATTCCCTCCCCTCCCCTCACTCTCCACGTGGGACAAATGTTAAATAAGACACAGCTGAGGAAAAGCCTCTTTACGGGTCTGGTCTACGGTCGGGCGGGCTTTGCGGCAGCTCCAAGGGGGCGGCGGGCCTGGAACCGGGAGCGTCAGTCCGGCCCACCCTTCCCCGGTCCGCCCTGCAAACTGCGGGCGAGGAGCCCGGAAGGCCGAGAGAGCGGACCGGAGCAACTCACTTCCAAGCCCGCGGCCACTTCCCGCCCCGAAGCCCCGCCCCCCGGCACGCGTCGCCCCCGAAACCCGCCGCCCGCACCTCCTGCCCCGCCCCTCCGCAGGTCACCTCCCGCCACGCCCCTTTCCCGTGGCCCCGGCAGCCGGCAGGCAGGGAAGTGTCGTAAAGCCCGGCCCAGGAAACTTTACCCGGGGTAACAGCCGGGGCGCTTTACGGCGGCGGCGGCGGCGGCGGCGGCGGAGCGGGGATCCTGGGCGGCGGAGGCGGCCGCGGCGGCGAAGGAGGAGGCGGCGGCGGTGGCTGAGGAGAAAGAGGAGTGGCGGCGCTGGCGGCGGGGACCCGTGCCGGGTGAGCCTCGCGGAGGGGCCGGGAGGGGCGGCGGTGACAGGGCCGGCGGATGGGCCCGGCGGACGGGGACGGTGGCCGGCTGAGCAGCTGGGCGGCGCTGAAGAGCAGGAGCGGGCGGCGGGGGGGGTTGCGGGGGGAGGAAAGACACGCCGCCGCGAAATTGGGGGGCACCTCGGTGAGGGACGGTTTCTGCCTTTGTTCCCCCCACCTCCGCCGCCCCCTGCCCGCCGCCGCCCCCTTCGCTCGGCGCTCGCCGGCCGGGTCTCATGGCCTCCCCTCTCGGTGTGTGTTGCCTCTAGGATGGCGGAGGTACCGCCTGGGCCTAGCAGCCTCCTCCCACCCCCGGCACCTCCGGCCTCGGCGGCGGCGGAGCCCCGCTGTCCCTTCCCGGCGGGGGCCGCCCTCGCCTGCTGCAGCGACGACGAGGAGGACGACGAGGAGCACGAAGGCGGCGGCGGCGGCGGCGGCGGCAGGAGTCGGGCGGGCGGCGAGGCGACGGCGGCGGCGGCCAAGGGGCATCCGCGCCTCCGGTGCCCTCAGCCGCCGCAGGAGCAGCAGCAGCAGCTCAACGGATTGATCAGCCCCGAACTGCGGCACCTCCGGGCGGCCGCCTCGCTCAAGAGCAAGGTTTTCAGCGCGACCGAGGCGGCCACGGCCACGGCCACCCCCGACGGGGGCCCCCGAGCGACTGCAACAAAAGGAGCCGGGGTGCGCTCGGGCGAGAGCCCCCCTCGCTGCCTCCCCGGCCATGCGAGAACTGCGCTCCCCAGCCCCGCGGAGCCGGCGGCGGCGAGCGACCCCGCGGCGGCCCGCAATGGACTGGCGGAGGGCACCGGGCGGCGGCGGCAGCAGCAGCAGGAGGAGGAGGAGGAGGAGGAGGAGGAGGACGAGCAGGTGCGGCTGCTGTCTTCATCCCTGACCGCCGGCTGCAGCTTGAGGAGCCCGTCCTCCAGCAGGGAGGCTCCTGAGCCCGGGAAGGACCGGACGATACGTTACGTCCGATATGAATCCGAGCTCCAAATGCCCGATATCATGAGACTGATCACCAAAGATCTGTCTGAACCCTACTCCATTTATACCTATAGATATTTTATCCACAACTGGCCCCAGCTGTGTTTCTTGGTAAGTGGATGGAATGAATGGAGGGTGAACCCGGCAGCAGAGAGGTCCAGGCCGCGCCGGGCAGGGAGTGTGAGGGAGAGAGTGGCAGTGGATCTAGCCTGCCTTTCATGGTGTGCCGCTGCTACGTGATTGTACAGTGCGTGTCCTCCTAGGTATTTGGTGAAACTTTGGAAGGTAAGAAGAATTCGTGATGCGGGTTAACTTGATGCCGATGTGTAGATGCAACCAGCCTATGCGCCGTTGCGTGTTGGGGGTCTTATATCCTGTTTGCATTAGCTTCTAATAATGCTTAACCTCTTTAATTACCCTCTCCCTCATCCTCAGAGTGCTTTGCAGTCATTTAATTTGAACATGATTCTGTTCGGATGCAGACCTTATTAATCTCTCAATTACAGCTCTAATCAGGGAAAGAGTGTGCATAAACATGTTTTGGAGATCATGATTTGTCAGTAAACTTGCTGTGGCCAACATTGGAGAATTAAATCTCGCTAGCATATTCTGTAATTATGGAGATCGTTTCCTTTACTTCAACAGGACAATTAACAGTTGTAGCCAGACTGCCTTCTGGTACTTGATTGCAGATGGTGCTACTCACACTTCTTGTGGCTGAAAAACTCCTGAAACTTAAACAAAATACCCTTTTGTGAGATGTAGGAAACTTAAAGTGTGAATTTTTTTACTAACTTAATTTTTTTTCTTTTTTAAGAAACTGGTCATAGATAGGCCTAAATGCTCGTAGTAATACTGGCGTGTGTGAAGTATAATTGACAAAATTCTTATTTATATGTAAGCAAAAAAAGGGCTACAATTTTTTTAAAAACTTTACATATTAATAGTACTCGTGGCTCAAATAGTTTCTTCCCAGTTATATTAACCAGTTTCACTTCTTTTGAAACCTTTCACTTATATTAAACTGCAGGTATGTGCTTTGTCTCATATACTCACAATTAACGTTGTTTCCATTGAATTTTTACTGAAATACAACATGCTTTTAAGGAGTATGTTATGATATGTAAAGGGAAAAGCTACTACTATTATTTATCGTTTCAGCATTGATTTAGTTGCACTTGATAATTTCCTGCAAGACATTTTAACAGTACTTCAGAAATGCATTTTTTTGATGCTGTAGCTTAGTGATAATCTAAAAATATATCTTCAGTATTGTAAATAATGGTTGTTCTGCTGTATTCTCTGTTCACTTTGCTAAACTTGAGTTTAGTATTTTTTTTTTAATTGTGGGAACTATTTTATAGTCTATGAAACTCCTCTTAGAAGTCTAACCATTGTATCTAACCAAAAATGAGAAAATGATTTTTTTGGCAGTGTTATAAATGTCATATGAATTCCATTGTAATTGCTAAATATTATAGATTGATTTAACTGTAAATTGACCCACAGAAGCATATGATTGAGGTACACTTTAAATTGAAATAGTACATTTCTGTTAATTTCAGAAAATAGTTGTATATACAGAGATTGGTAAAAGTAGGTTTACAATTGTGGGTACATGAAACACGTTTATTTTTATATTACTTATTAATTATTATTTTTCCATACGAACAACTGTAAACCTTTTGCCCACCACTATATGATATTTAGTTCTGATATTACCTACATCTCTCAAATGGTCTGCCATTTTAGACTCTGATAAACTTAATATTAGTAAACTTTAGTTTTGATTTTATATAGACTCCTCCCAATTTGCCAGTTAATTTGTGCTTTAGCCCCTACAAGTCAATTTGTTTAATATTAAATTCTGAATATTTAGAAATTGAAATATGAAAGACTGGTTGACCTATAAGATTTATTAGTGCAATTATGAATCTGGTGGTGTGGAACATAAAACGATAGCTGAACAATTAGAGGCTAGGTAGCCTCGGGCCTTTTTATTGGCATTTAAAATTTTTGAATTTCCCATAAGAACTAATTTAAAAAAAATATAATGTGTAAAATTATTTTATAATTTTTAAAAATATATTTTATTGATTTTTTTTATAGAGAGGAAGAGAGAGGGATAGAGAGTTAGAAACATCGATGAGAGAGAATCATCGATCAGCTACCTCTTGCACATCCCGTACTGGGAATGTGCCCAAAACCAAGGTGCATGCCCTTGACCGGAATCGAACCCGGGACCTTTCAGTCCGCAGGCTGATGCTCTTATCCACTGAGCCAAACCGGTTTCGGGTGTGTATGTTTATTTTAAATCATATTTTAGATCTGTAAAGGATCCTAGAGATAATCTAGTTCAGATTTATTTTATTAATGAAAAAAATTATGGACCAGAGTGTCTTGAAAATGTTTAAATCTCTAGATATTCAGTGGCAGGAAGGTAAAGCTAGAACTCGGGTATCCTGGCCACATGGAAACAAGAACCTGAAAAATGACATACCCTTGGTCTGTTCAGTGAAGATCATTGTGTCATAAAGTTATACTTCTTAAGGGACAGATGTTCTTACAGATATCAATCTGTATATAGACTCCTCCCAATTTGCCAGTTGTGATTAGAAACCTCCAAAATATTCCTGGTTTCCATGAGTATCCTGTAATTAATTAAACATAGAAAATTGCCAGTTCTTGACCATATTTGACTAATGGAATTAAAAGGGTTGTTGCTTTTTTAAATTCTTACTGAAGGATATATTTTTATTGATTTTTAGAGAGAAGGGAAAGAAGAGAGAAACATCTTGTTGCCTCCTACATGAGCCCTGACTGGGGATTGAACCCGAAGCTAGATATTTGCACTGACTGGGAATCAAACCCACAACTTTTTGGTGTAAGGATGATGCTCCAACTAACTGAACCTCCCGGCCATAGCCAAATGATAGTTTCTTCTGATTCTTTCTAATAATTGTAACATGTGAAAGTAGAGCATTGTTCGACTGGGAGGCACTGTCACTCTGTACTTCACTAATTTTTCATTGCAATTCATGGTATTTGAACTGAAGTTGGTATGTTTTTAACTTTTAAACTTATTACCACTGATGTATAGTACTTTGATTTATTCTAAATTTAACTCTTGCTTCCTCTGGAAACAACGCTTCTTTCCTATTGGAATTTGGGACTCTCTGTTTCACACAATTTATATTTTATATCTGTATCATAGATTGATAAGCCTTTGGTCTTTAGAGTTAAGTCTTGCCAGGAATTTTTCAGTTCCCATCTGAAAAAAAGAACACATTTAATAGCAGAAGCTTTTATTTGGAAAAAATTTAACAAGTAGTTTAGTAATTCTTGTAAGTGTATATTCATCAGCAATATATCAGGAAAAAATAGCATTGGCCTTCCTCACTACCAACATCTTGTTAATAATAATGCATTATATATTGGGCTTTTATTTTTAAATGATATGTACAATTTCATTCTTGCTCCTGTATATTCTTAATTAGGAAGAAATCAATCTAGTCAAGAGGGAACTAATATAGATACTTTGCTTGTTACTTCCTTGTCAATGGTCAAAGATGATTTGTTTGAAATTTCTATATAATTTGAATGTATTGTCCAGCTGTATTATATGTAGTGGTTTTAAAATGTCCTCTTTTGGATGGTTTATTCACAGTTATTCTACATATCAAAGATTTCCATAGATTTCTCTTTAGCTAATGAGATCAGGCCCCAAATTGTTTTTAATGTACCATTGGGTCTATAATATGTACACATGTGCACCACAATCACACATATATATTTGAGGTGAGTTTTCACGTGAAAAAGTTCAACCAAGCAATTTTTGCACAAATTTTAGGTTTTCAAAAGATTTTGAAAAAATCAGATTTATCATGAATGAAAATGGCCTCAAATGTCTTTAGGTTATGTGATAAAATTTAATTAATTAGTGTGGATTGTTGAATTTAATATTCCTTTAAAAGGATTTTTCTGACTTAATTTAGGTTTGCATGAAATAGATTAGAATTTTCATGCCTAAAAGATTTCTCCACAGTTTTTTTTAAAAAAGGGGTTTTGTAATCAAATTTTAGAATGATGGACTAAAACAGTCTTCACAGATTTAAATTAAAATAGGTATCCTATATAACAAAAGGGAATCCAAACAGTGCAATGACTATGATGCACACTTATTAACAAGGGGCAGACTGTCAATGCAAGCGCTGCCCCCTGGTGGTCAGTGCTCTCCCACAGCGGGAGGGCCTCTCAGCCACAAGCAGGGCTGAGGTAGGAACCTCTCCCACCTCCGCAGCAGCGCTGAGGATGTCTGACTGCGGCTTAGGCCCAAGTCATCAGACACCCCCTGAGGGTACCTGGACTGTTGAAGGGTGCCTGCTGGGCTGAGGGGACCCCGCCTACCCCAGTGCACGAATGTCATGCACCAGGCCTCTAGTTAAGTATTAATTGGGCTTTATTTTGTTTTTTAAAATGGCTTCTTCTGAAAAGTTAATATTATTAAGAGAGAATAATTTTTTTCATTTTTTTCTAATGAGGGCTTTTAACAGCAAATAAGTATTTCTGACTTACACATGATTAAACAATTGGAGCTACTGCTTTATTTATATTAACCAGAGTATAAATAGTATTACTAGAAAATTTTATTAGTGATGGAATTTTTGAAAACCATATTTTTAGTTTTTAAAAATATATGGAAATCTTAATTACTCTGGAAAGCTGTACATTTTGTTTAAATAGAAAGCTCTGATTTTGAGTTCTAGATATACTATGAGCTTTATGATAATGACTTCACTGTCAAGAGTATCCTAAAAATGACACCATTGTATATCCACCTACTCTTTGTAGTATCTCAATAACAATAACCCCTTGGTTAGGATCCAAGGAATATCTTAAAACAATCCTTTTTCTGAAAATATTTTATATTTTTTACTGATCAAAATGAACTGTTCAAGTATAAATCATGTCATATCTTTCATAAAAGCTTTATTATAAATTTTAAGTTATTGTACTTTGCCAATAAGCAAGTTTCACAATATTTTATATCTTAATGAAGTCTTTTTTCTTTAAGAAGCTATTTTCACATATTCCCTTTCCCAAATCTTGCAAATAATATCATTATAACTCTCTTATAAAAGCTAATTATAATTCGAGACCTTTTATAAAGCACTTGAATGTTTACCTATAGAATTTTGCTTTCCCTTTATGCTTTGATAATTCCCATAAGAAATTCATGTTTTAAAGAATATTAAAATATATTAAAACTAGAACATTTGAAGGAGCTTTGGGATTTAGATTTCTGGAACTTCTGCTCTCTTGCTAGAATTCTCATTATCTCCTTCAAAAATGCTAATCAATGGTTGGTTGCTGTTTCCCTGGATACAGTACCTGCTGGCATTATGTTCTTCATAATTGTTTGTTTATTTTTAAGGCCATGGTAGGGGAGGAGTGTGTAGGTGCCATCGTTTGCAAGTTGGACATGCACAAAAAGATGTTCCGCAGAGGTTATATAGCCATGTTAGCCGTGGATTCCAAATACAGGAGAAATGGCATTGGTAAGGAAAATGTTATGTCATTAAAAGAATGCATGAGTTATTTTTTTCTATTTTGAAAGCAGAAGACTTAAATGTAACTATGTGGAAATGAGCATGATGCTAAGGAAAGAAAATCAAGGTTGTTTTTTCCCTAAAAATATTTCCAAAATCTGTTTTTTCAAGAGAGGGAGAAACATTGAAGTGAGAGCTGCCTCCTTCAAATCCTGCGCCCCCCCACCCCCTCCCCAAACAAGTCCAAAGCACACAGGGGAATCAAGTTGGCAACCTTTCAGTGCAAGGAATGACCCCAAATTGAACCACACTGGCCAGAGAATCAAAACCAAAATGTTACCTTTTTAATAAGTAGCAGGTGACCATTTTTTTTTACCTCCAAACATTTCTTTATTATGTTCAGAATGCTTTGCATTTTATCAAGTGCTGCAGTTTTGATAGCATTCTTAGGGTACTTAATCATAGCCCTAAGCTGTCTGTGCTTGGGTGAAGTGGACCTCAATCAAGGCAAAGTAATGGGGAAATTGTTACCATTATTTAGTACTACTAATTGTATTAACAATTTAAAGAAGACCAGGAAAAGGAATTCTTACCATTCTCAATCATCTCTTTCTTAAGTCTACCTTTTTTGGCATTTTTCAGTTAATCGTAACAATGGTCATTAGAGTCATCTGGGTGATTAAAAAACAAATACATAGGCCCCTAATCTTGTTTGTCTTGATGGAGGAGAGCTGAAGCTTCGTGGTGACTGCTCTAAGCCTGTCCTAATGTTTAGGACCTACTGGCTCTTTAAGATGTAAGAACAGATTGACAAGTACTTGTCTGAGCAAGTCAAATTCTGGGATGTACTGAAGCTAAGTTAGTATTCATGAAAAAATATTTGATAATTATACCAATATTTAATTAACAATGGTTTTATCACTTGCAGTTTTTTCTCAATTATTAGTATCATTGTTCAGTTTAAGACACAGTCTTATTTATCCTAGGAAATCATTAAGAATAGGTTCACTTAATACATTAAGTTTAACCAACTTCCAGTGTTATAGTTTACCACCAAGATTTTTAATGAATCAGACTTATAAGCCAGGTTTGAGACTTTGATGCATTAAAAAGAGCTGATAAGGAAAATGATAGGCAATTGTCTCGCTGTTTTGGAAGGCAAAAACTGGTGTCTTAGGCCTCAGACATTTTATTTGGCCCAAATAATGTGTTTGTTCATGTTTTGAGAATTGCGAGATTTCTTACAAAATTTGGATTTCTTCTTAAAATTCACATTTGGCAGTTGTTTTCGCTTTAATGTCCCAAATATATCTAACTCTAACCTAGGATATATTTTGCTAAACAATTGCAGACACACATCATCTATAGACACTGAATGGCCAGATTATTATGATCTCTGAATGCATAATAATCTGGCCACTCAGTGTATATCCTATAATAATAAAAGGCCAATATGCAAATTGTCCCCTCGGCCAGGAGTTCGACCAGCAGGCAGGCAGGCCAACTGCCCATGTCCCTGCTCCCTGGCCAGACTCGCTGGACCCCACCCATGCATATATACATACACTCACAACACTGAGTGGCCAGATTATTATGTGGCGCTCAGAGATCATAATTGGCCACTCAGTGTATATAAAAGCCTAAGCAACCTACAAGATGGAATAACCAGTTGACCAGTCACTATGATGTACACTGACCATTGGGGGCAGACGCTCAACGTAGGAGCTGTTCCCTGGTGGTCAGTGCACTCCCACAGCCAACCTCCCTCTCATGATCCCTCCACCCTACCAGCAGACCCCAATTAGTCTGCCATCCACCCACTGTGGCAACGTGGGACTGAGTGGAAGAGGCAGGGAATTGTGGTGGCGAGGCTCCTATGTTGGTGCCTGGCGTTTGTTCCTTCCGTGATGGTCAGCCAAGTCTAGGGACCCCAACCATGCACAAATTTTTGCACCAGGCCTTTAGTATGGGAATACCATACTTAAGTGTGCCCCATGCTCACTATAAGGTTTGCAGAAACCAACCCAGTGTCTTGGGCCTTCTTAGGGTCACAGCAGTTCTAGTATGATCTTTGGCAAGATTGGTTCATGGGTCATAGGCAGTGAGTTCAGCTCAAGAAGTTCCTGGTTTGCTTGGCCATATTATATCATTTTAAAAAAAATATATATTTTATTGATTTTTCACAGAGAGTAAGAGAGAGGGATAGAGAGTTAGAAACATCGATGAGAGAGAATCATCGATCAGCTGCCTCTTGCACACCCCCCACTGTGGATGTGCCCGCAACCAAGGTACATGCCCTTGACCAGAATCGAACCCGGGACCTTTCAGTCCGCAGGCCGACGCTCTATCCACTGAGCCAAACCGGTCCCGGCTTGGCCATATTATATCTTGCCTTTTTTTTCTTTTTTTCCCTTCAAACAGAATAGCAGAAATTCCTGCTTGGAGTGTTTACACCTGAGAAGAAGGAATATAGGTATAAAGACTTGCTTAAGTCTTTTAAGAGGAAACTTACATTGCTATGTGTAGATTCTATTGGCCTCCCATTTTAAATCTAAAATTTTTCTCAATTTAAGATAATCTATGTATCTGGATTCCAGGTAGAACTCAGCATTTGACATATATATGCTTATTATGATGTTATAACTTAGGTGTCTTTAAGAAACTAATTACATTTTTCCTTCATTAATACTCAGATCTATATTCTAGGTACTAACTTGGTTAAGAAAGCTATATATGCCATGGTTGAAGGAGACTGTGATGAGGTAAGTCTTTCTAAATTTTTAAGACCTTTTAAGCAGTATTCTACTGAGTATTTTTATAAATATTCCATGATAATTATATTGCAGATCTTATAGCAAACTATTAGTGTATAAATGCAACTTGTAGTGAAATTATATATCATTTCAACACCTGAATTTTGACCTAGAACAAATTTTAAGGTGATAATGGGAGCTAAAATTTGTTGTTTGTTAAATGTAAAGGTGAAATCTTAGACATTTTCAATAAATAAATGGTGTTCAGAGAAATTGGTATTGAGAGGATTTGTTATCAGTTATCACTTATAAGTTACATATTAACCTTAGTTTCTTTTTTAATAAAAGTTTTATTTTTACCTGTGGGCCAACTGTCAACTCATATGAAGGACATTTCACATTTGACAACATCTCTCAGCATTAAATAATGTTAAGGCTTGGGAAGGTGGGTGAAGACAACTACTTTTTTAAGTAGAGCCATCTATCAACCTCAGGGCAACTCTTCAGCTTTTTGCTAAGGCCTTATGGCAGGTATAATTTCTTGTATGCTATCGCACTGGGCTTTAAACATGGTAGGTACTCAGGAAATAATGGTAATAGTTGGGACTGTTAAGATTTACTATTGAATAATTTGGGAGGGAATAAGTATAAATAAGAGGAAGTATAAATGTCTGTATAGCAATGATGACTAAGAAGGAACTAAGTTGCATTTTTATGTATAGTAACTGTATGAGTGAGTTGTCTTTATTATTGGAGGGCAAATTTGCATTAGCTGACAAAATACTTGAAATTTTTTTGACAACATGATGACCTTAATAAGTAACTTGTCTTATTTTAAAAAAAAATTTCTTTTTCATACAAAATCTAGACACAAGAATTAACCATTTTGTGTGTGTGTGTGTGTGTGTGTGTGTGTTTTGATATAATGTACCTTCCACTGTCCTCATGCTCTTTAACTCTTCATTTATCTTTCCACTTATAGATACTATTAATCTTTTGATATGCGTCCTCCCATTTTCTACGCATACCTGTATGCAGCTGTGTAATACTTTTTTTTTTTTATAAAAGGTGAAATCACAATTCTGTAATAGTTTTTCCATTTAATGATATCTCATGAACACATTTCATTGTTAGAATATAGAGATTTACTGCAGAATATACTCATACTTCTTGTGTTCATTAGTTTGTATTCTGACAGGTCACACTAAATGGTGGTGGTTTGAGAAGGCCTACAGACTCACCGGGCAGCACAGAGAAGTCTAGGATTTAATGATATTTAATTTGACTCCAAATAAGATAATTACACATGGTGGAGGATCTCATATTGTTTGCAGCTTTTAATATAAAAAAAGTAAAAGGTACAGTGACTTTGATAATTTACATGGCTGGTAACTAAAATTTACATACTTTTATGACTATAAGTCTATGTGTTTGGACCATAGCCACACTGGCTTAGTTCATCAAGAGAAAGTCAGGCTTTGCAAAAGTACTGTAACAGTTTGGAGAAATCTTTGGCATGATAAGACTGTGATCCTCTATTGCTACTGAGTGGAGTGATTTTCAGTGAACAGGGAAGCTATGATCAGGGAGTATTATATTCCTTATGGTTAAGCCTTTTCTGAGTTTCCATAATCGCCACCTGTGAGACATGATTCACTTAATTGATCAGATATTTAAATAGCATTGGTTTTACTTTGAAAGTTTGAAGGGATAATAATGGAGATTTTGGTTATATTGTTTTAGTCTCAAGGTAAAATCCTAAATTAGCGACATGTATTATGAAATACTCTTTTACGTATATATACAAAAAAGAGTATTTCATAATACATGTCGCTAATTTAGGATTTCTGTATCTATCTATCTATCTATCTATCTATCTATCTATCTATCTATCTATCTATCTATCTATCTATTGATTTTAGAGAGGAAGGGATTGAGCCTACCCTGGGCATGTGCCCTGACTGGGAATTGAACCATAACCTCCTGGTTCTTGGATCAATCTTCAACCATTGAACCATACCAGCGGGGCCCTTCTGTTTTTTTGATGGTAGTGTATTTGTTGGTTCTACTTTATATTGTCATTTTATCCCATCTCTTTTTTTTTTTTTTTTTTTTTTTTTTAAATATATTTTATTGATTTTGTACAGAGAGGAAGGGAGAGAGATAGAGAGCCAGAAACATCGATGAGAGAGAGTCATCGATCAGCTGCCTCTTGCACACCCCCTACTGGGGATATGCCCGCAACCAAGGTACATGCCCTTGACCGGAATCGAACCCGGGACCCTTCAGTCCCCAAGCCGACGCTCTATCCATTGAGCCAAACCGGTCTTGGCTTATCCCATCTCTTTTTGATTCTTCCCCTTCCACTCCATTGTAACTACTTTCTCACTGATGTATTTGCTTGACCCAGTAGCTGCTTCTTCCTCCTCTTCTTATTAAAATACTTGTCAGTTTTTAATACGCAATTAAAATATCAACAACTCCTTCATTTTCTTTTTTCTTTCTTTTTTAAATATATTTTATTGATTTTTTACAGAGAGGGGGAAGGGAGAGAGCTAGAGAGCTAGAAACGTCTAGAAACATTAACCAGCTGCCTCTTGCACACCCTCTACAGGGGATGTGCCCTTGACTGAAATCGAACCTGGGACCTTTCAGTCCGCAGACCGATGCTCTACCACTGAGCCAAACCAGTTTCGGCTCCTTAGTTTTCTTTAATCCTTCTGGACAGAATCAATGTGCCTTCTTTGGTTTTCTTTATTTCTCTTTTTGTAATATAGTAATCCCTAATTATCTGTGGTTTCACAGTTTCCCATGCTCAACTAGGCTCTGAAAATATGAAATGAAAAATTTCAGAAATAAACAATTCATACATTTTATTTATTTTTTTAATTTATTTTTTTATAACTTTTTATTGTTCATATTATTACAAATGTTCCTCCCCCCCCCCCCCCCCGACCATGCTCTCCTCCACCAGATTCCCACCCCACCCTCCGCCCCCTCCCCACTCCCCATTGTCCCCATCCATAGGTGCACAGTCTATGTTCAGTCTCTTCCCACATCCCCCTCTCCCCTTTTCCCCAAGAATCATCAGTTCACTCCCCTTCCATACCTCTGACTCTATTATATTCAACCGTTAATATTGTTCATCAGATTTTTTTTAATTTCCTTGGTTTTTGGATTCGCTTGTTGATAGTTACGTATTTGTTGTTCATAATTTTTATCTTTATTTACTTTCTCTTCTGAAAGAACCCCCTTCAGCAATTCATATAATTCTGGTTTGGTGTTGATGAACTCCTTTAGCTTTTTTTTATTAATGAAGCTCTTTATCTGACCTTCGATTCTGAGTGATAGTTTTGCTGGATAGATTATCTTTGGCTGTAGGTTCTTACTATTTATCACCTTGAATATTTCTTGCCATTCCCTTCTGGCCTGCATGGTTTCTGTTGAGAAGTCAGCTGACAATCGTATAGGTGCTCCTTTATAGGTAACTCCCTTCTTTGCTCTTGCTGCTTTTAATATTCTTTCTTTGTCTTTTGCTCTTGGAATTTTAATTATGATGTGTCTTGGTGTGGTCCTCTTTGGATTTCTTTTGTTTGGAGTTCTGTGCGCTTCCTAGACTTGTAAGTCTAATTCTTTCACCAGGTGGGGGAAGTTTTCTGTCACTATTTTTTTCAGTATGTTTTCAATATCTTGCTCTTGCTCATCTTCCGGGACCCCCATAATTCTGATGTTGGTTCGCTTGAAGTTGTCCCAGAGGTTTCTTACATTATCTTCAATTTTCTGGATTCTCTTGCCCTCTAGCTTCTGTGGAGGGGTGTCTTCTGGCTCTTTATGCTCCAAATCTTTGACTTGATTCTTGTGATCTTCCATTCTGTTTTTAGGACTCTGTATAATATTTTTTATTTCAGACAATGTATTCTTTATTTCTTGTTGATCCCTTATCATTTCTTGTTGACTCCTTATTAATTCTAGTTGATCTCTTTTCATATCCTCATAGGTCTTATCCATCTTTTCTAGGAAATTCTTGAAAAACCTTATAAGCGTAGATTTGAACTCTATATCCAGCCGCTTTTTGTCCTCCATTTCTTTCGTTTGTGATCTATTTTGTTGTTGCATTTCGCAGCTGGAATCAAAACTTCTTAAAGGAATGTAAGTGTAGAGTATGTGACCTTAAAATATTTTTAGTTGACTAACATCTTTCCATTTTCCCCTCCCCTCAGGTCCTGGCAAGTACCAATCTACCCTCTGCTTCTATGAGTTTCACTATTTTTAGTTCCCACATATATGTGAGATCATACAGTATTTGTCTTTTTATGTCTGATGTATTTTACTTACCATACTGTCCTCTAGGTTCATTCATGTTGACACAATGGCAGGATTTTTTTTTAAGGCTAAAAAAAGTATTCCATTGTATATATGACACTTTTTCTTCATTCATTAAATTTTTTTTATGTCATTTAAGTTGTTTTTATATCTTGGCTATTGTGAATAATGCTGTAATGGACATGGGAATGCAAATATCTTTTTGAGATCCTGATTTCAGTTTTTTTGGATATATATACCCAGAAGTGGGATTGCTGGATCATATGATTGTTCTTTTTTTAAAATTTTTTGAGGAGCCTCCATACTGTTTTTCAGAAAGGCTGTCCCAATTTACATTCCCACCAACAGTGACTTAATTCATTTAAATAACTTATAATAAACTGTTACATGATAACAAAATAACATACACCTTATGATAATGTATAAGATGACTTTTAAGGTTTTTGTGTTTAATAATTATATATTTAACATTTTTAGTTTAACTGGAAAAATATTTTGGCTTATGGGGCTGCTACCGTATTTTCTAGATAAAGAACAGAATAAAATGGAGTTATTTAAAACTGTAAGGATTTTTGGTTGAATAATGTAGCCTAATTAAAGAACTGGGTATGAAAAGCCAGCTTCCAGATCCATGTCCTATCATATCACTTAATATAGTTGTGTGATTGTAGGCAAGTCATTTGACT